CGAAGAAGCTGTTATTAGCAAACGTATTCGAACAATAATACAGCGTGATCACGGCGCCCCAACGGAGTTGCGATTGCAATTGATTCGACCATCAATTCTTCATTTGTCAGTACTAGATCCAAAGTTGACGAAATTTGGTTGGTTCCAAACCTGGTGGGTTCCTTCACATGATTGTACAACAGATGTGACTGGATGAACTGCTTCAACTGTCGTTCAAATGGCGTACACGATTTAGTCACATTGGACAGTTGAAGTCACCCATAACAAGAACGTGGGTGAAATTCAATGACAAGTAAGACATTGTTTGCAACAAAGTCTCATATGGTGAATCTGCTGACGAAGGAGGGCGATAAACTAAACCGCTCAGCCCGATATCATGTTGTGTTAGCTTAAATTTACACCATAATGTATCTGAAGCAGCGAACAGGCACTCAATTTGCTCACATTGCAAGCTGTTATGATAGTAGCGCAACACGCCCCCACCTCACATCTGACGATCACGTCCAATAGCTCCATGCCCGGTAATCGCAGCTCGGAGTCCAAAATGTCAGTCGTCAATCAGGTTTCGGTTACGGTAATGAGATCCCATCGACCAGTCCGATAACGTAGTTCCACCTCTGGAAACTTACTGAAAAGAACCCTGAGCATTGGTATAGAAACAGTTTAGTCGTTGTCGGTGCACAAATCCCTTACGCGTAGTTCTTTGGGCCCTCTTGTTCTGTTGATACCATGATTGGAGAACTGTGTTTACCATTTCTGATGTCCCCCTTCAGTAGTTGCGGGCCATCTCCGCGATAGTTGGGAGAACGCGGAAGGCGATTAATGGCTGTGGTAGAGACATTGCGGCAGTTTAACAATTCTTGAATGAAGCACCACTCGTAAAAGTCACTTTTTTTCCACGGTTGGATTCATCAGCTTCGGGGAGCTGTGGCACTCCGTGTATGAGAATCGCCCGCGAGTTGTCTGCATCGCGTGCGCTGTTAAAATCGTTCCGTCGGTGTACACGCTCAGTCCAAGGTCTGCCCGGTAAAATTCTGGTATTGCTGGACCCAGCTTCAATGAGAAAACTAGAAGAAGAACATTTTCAACGTCTTCTTCACTGGCCAACGTCACACGAAGTAACCTGGGTTCCCCGATATGTATTGATGTCGGTTGGCGCCAGAGACGTGTGAGGCTCACCGGTTTGGCTTCTACACCAATTCGGGCACACACCTCTATCCAGCGATTCAGCTCGTCCTGTTGCCTCTCCCTCAATGATTGACTTGTGGGTTCTGGGAGATTTGTGAAAATTACCGTGAATGTAGTGTTACCACTTACTCTCTTGTTCATTTGTGACGGTATAGTAGCTTGCGACTGACGTTTAGGTGGCGGTACTTTGACTGCAGGTACCGACACTTCGACCGTTGGTTAAGAAATAAGGTGTGGGGGTTGCATGCTCTAACACATGTTGATTGGAGAAGATTTAACCGATGTGCCCGTATCGTCGAACCATCTGACACATCTCGTACAGCTTCAGTTTTTCTGTTTAACCTGCGATACTCCTAAGAGTAAAAGGCTCAAGTGTAACTCAAACGATATATTGTTTTGCATTCATGAGTGAACTCTGATCATCGGAAGCGGATACAAAAACGTGCTGAGGATAATAAACCGTTCGTAAAAGTACACCATCATAACTATCAGTAGTTTATCAACGGTGCAAAGTATGTCATAATTACCACGATCGAGACTTAATTATTACGGCTATTTTGTCTATAGCTTCTTGGGAAACGGTGTTCTAAAGAGGTCTTTTGTGAGTAGTGTTTATTATCCTCAACCTTTTAATGTATCGATATGTCAAAAATAGAGTTCACTTAAGATAGATACACGAAACGGTAGGTGTACATCTTTGATTTATTTCAGAGCATGTGAATGCAAAACAACGTATCGTTTGAGTTACACTTGAGCCTTTTACTCTTAGGGGTGTCGCAGGTTAAACAGAAACACTGAAGCTCTACGAGATGTGTCAAATGGTTTGACGATACGAGCTAATCGGTTAAACCTTCTCCAATCAACATTTGTTGCAGCATGCAACCCTAACACCTTGTTTCTTAACCAAGCTTTGCAACATCAACAATTGTAGAAAACAATTTTTTCATCATCCGTTTACTTCAGAATATTCCGATACTTTTTTTTATCTGACTCGCCTACTGCGGCGTGGATAAATTTTGTGCGTTGAGGCTAAAGGACTACAGATTTTGACTAAAGCATTGTGGGTTTTGGCTAAAGAATTACGGGTCGAGGTTAAAGGATTGCGAGGTTTGGCTAAAGCCTGATGCGAAAAGGTGTAGAATAAGTTATGTCCTCACACAACGCACACCTCTCTCATACGCACTCGTGGGCCAATAAGCAGTTCGTGTCAGTTTTTACAACCATGAATCAAGCACTTTCGTGCAGTGGTTTTCTTTGTCTTTTGGTTGCCCATTTTGATTAAACAATAGAAGGATTGGAACGTGAATGGGAATTAATCAAAGACACTCTAGTATTCATCTTTTTGCGTTGACCGAGTTGTTACGGTGTTCAAACAGATTAGCTAACGTACGCTATTTCCCTGCACAGTTTTCAATAATAGAGAATTATTTTTGCATCTCAAATCACAGTTTGATCCGTCAGATTAAGCTTGCAGGATACAGATACACTACCGCAGATAGGTACACATGGTGTCACTTCTGATCGGTCTACTGTGGCAATTCGCATTCAAAACGTCTGCTTGATTCGCTACGTTCCGCAATCGAAAAAACATTTTAAAGCATAATGCGATCAGATTTCCGATCGGAGCTTACTCCATGGTTAAAACACAACACGAAACTGCTCTAAGTATGCTAGGTAACAGTTAACATTAGCAACATTGGCTATTTTCTGTACCGAGCCGATGGTAAAGGTCACCAAATGATCANCCCGAAGGTTATGTGTTCGAATCCCACCATCATTGCCAAACTTTCCCCATTACGTGTGTTGTATGACAGCATTGGTTCTAATCATTACATTCATTGCTCTCGTCGCCATCATGAAGAGAAAAATCTGTGGTAAGTGAGCCCTGACTGGCTCGTATCGTAAATAGCACAATGATTGCGGTTGAGTGAAATGCACCCATAACAGAAAACCACAAAACGCAGAGTTTCAGTTTTAGTTCTTACAACCGTTACCATGCACATTCGTGCGGCGGTTTTGGTTGCTGTCTTTTCGTCGTCCATTTCGATAAAAGAAAAGGATGAAGATTTGAATGACGAAGGCAAACTCAAGCGGAATATGGAGAAATCATATAGATTGGTGTTAAGAGAATAATGAGTAGATGCATGAGCGCCGATATCCGGGGCTATAGCCGGGTTGGTGGACCACTGGCAGTTCACCTAGGGGAGTTGGCCAAAAACCCTGATTCCAAACCAACCATGAGGAGACGTACGAACCACACCCACACCTTTTCGGTTGTGGCAGTGGTCACCGGCTCGATTGGGCATTGAGGTGTATTGGGCACCTCGGATGTCTGACCCCGTC